ATCCTTCAACCCAATATCCATTCTGTTGACAATATCTTTCATAATATCTACTTGTTTTTGGAAACGACTTGCCGATACACCATCCGACGCATCAAAAGCAAAGGCTAAGTCCAATGCTCTACCCGTACAACCAGCAGTTCCAAGATCTGTAAAAGACATTAAAAAAAAGTCAAAAAAAGTCACAGAAAATCAAGTGTCTTCATTTATCAAAACTAGCGCTTCGGGATTTTCTGACCCATTTTCTTCGGTTGTCATACTATTAAATTAAATAGAAGAAAAATTGTTCAAATATTTTCCGATGATGAAAAGTCGTAACACATACATATACTGCTATGTCCATAACACGCACACACACACGCGCGCGCATACACACACACATATACAAATATATATATATATATAAATGAACAAAAATCAAACGAATAGATATCAACTTAACAATCAATAAGATACAAGTTTAGAAAAATAAAAAAGATTACTAAATATAAAATGGATTACTTTTTCAATGTACTCTCTATGAGTTTTTCCAATCGACTGTTTCATAGAAAATACCCAAAACTCCAACGAACTTAAAATGAAATTCTTCGTAGATTGTTTAGAATTAAATTCTTCGTAGATTGTTTAGACATTTAGATTTATATCAAACCTTAACCTCCCAAATATACCCTTTAAAGTAATGCGAATTAACAGCGTCTAAGAATTTGAATGAAACCTGCTCTCGTGAAATGTAATTTATCATGGGTTGTTGTAGCTTCTTCCTTTAATGTCGGTCTTCTCCCTCACCCCTTACCCATCTATATCTAGAGACAATACGCGTTACAATACACAGTGGGGTTAAGAATAAGGAATTGAAATGGTACATCTAACCCACTCATATCTTATCTTCTCTCCCACCTCACTTCCTCACTTCGTTAATTTTACATATGCGGTCCGTCAAAAACGTGTGAATTTCTTTTCATTTTTCATTTCAACCTGTGGAAGTAAAGTCTAATGATTCAGAGCCCTGTTAAAGGGGTTGTGGTGAAATAATTTATTACACGGAACCTTAAAGTGGTCTGTTTTTATTCAAATATATATATATATATATATATATATATATATATATATATATAGTCGACTCTCGACTCTCATATAGTCAACTCTCCCGTCGAATTAGACGTATGAGGGTCAAGCAGATCAGTTTCGAGGAAATCGACAGCCCGACAACGGCACATAAGATTTGATTATAGTGGTGAAGGTTTCGTGCAGGACCATCCACACTTTTTGAAGGGCCGAATCCAGAGACCTGGTGCACTAAGTGCTACAAGATCCCCAAACAACCCTCCGCAGGTTTTGAATTCAGAATTGTCCTTCTCCTAGACCAGTTGCCATCCAAGGCTATAGAACCCAGTCTGTCCTGCTATTTTACCCATAGCTGGAGGGAGAAGAAGAGGATTCATACCTTTCCCAATGTTATTAGAACGTAAGTAATGGACTGGAATTCGAACTCGGCTTTGCGATTCCTCAATCCAAGCCGCTATCCATTACTCCACCGTGTCTCTCTCTCTCTCCCTCTTTCTTTCTCTCTCTCTCTCTCTCTATATATATATATATATATATATATATATATATATATATATTAAAGTGGACATTAAAGTCAGCACTCAGAGGCGACAGGCTGTTTCATGTTAGACGCAATCATCAGGTGGCCTGACGATTGCGCCCAGCATGAAAAAGCCTGTCGCCTCTGAGTGTTGAGTTCAATGTTCACTTTTATATTTATTTTTACATACGCTCTATCTCTGATATTGAGCACTTTATCTCATAAATATAGCTGACCCTAGAACTATTTGTTTCATATATATATATATGTGTGTGTGTGTGTATAAAGACATTTTTCTCTTTATACATTCTTTTTTTATAGATGCAAATATTTAAGTAAATGCTCTGTTTTATAATAAACAGTATTAACAACATTTACCGGCCTGAATGTCCGAAAAATTGTCATAGAAAATATCCGTCCTCCGACAGGAATCGAACCTGTATCCTATTCGGAATCGTCATATAGTCTGACGTGCTTTTCCCGTTTTTCGCGACAGAGGAGCGTTTCGCTTAGCCAGTTCGATTTTAAGATTGTAGTTTAAAAACAGTAAATTCGACCTTGCTAACCGAAACGTTCCTCTGTGGCTCAATCGGTGAAAGCACGTCAGGCTATATGACGGTTCCATATAGGATACAGGTTCGATTCCTGTCGGAGGACGAATATTTTCTATGAAAATTTCTCAGACATTCAGGCCAGTAAATGTTGTTTAATACTGTTTATTATAAACAGAGCTTTAATTAAATATTTGTATCTATGAAAAGAATGTATAAAAATAAAAAAATGTCTTAAAATAATTGTCGGACTTTATCCATTTCATAATATATATATATATATATATATATATAATAAATTTGGATACGTTCGTATTCAGACCATGCAACCCGGGTTCAAATCTCACCCTGGATGATTAGTCCAGGAAGGAGACTTCCTTATGTTATCGGAGTGGATGGGTCGATCCCAGCGTACGGCACCTTTAGAAAGGGCCTGACACTCCTACCACGGGTTGATCCAAGCCTTGTGAGTGAAATTGGGTAGACGGAACACTTGGGTACCGTCGATAGCTGTCCTTGAGCGTGCTGGTCTTGTTCAAATTATTGATCACGCTAGAAAACACGTTCTTCCCCAGAAACCGTAACTAAAATCTGCTCACCAGTGTTGCAGTTTATACCACAAGCGTATTCTCTGGGTGTTGAATAAACACACATATATATATATATATCAGTGATTCCCAACCGATTTTGGGCTATATCTTTAGTACCCACTTTTACCAGTGCTCATATTGCAATTTTTGCTGTTATCATTGCATTAATTATTACCAGAGCTCATATCGCAATTTTCGTGGTTATTATCGCTTTTCTATGGCACTCCTTTTTACTGGTTCCCATATTGTATTCATTTCTATGCTTGGTCGGCTCAGGAGATTTTTTGTGGCCTTGCATATGTGCTGATTCCATATATATATATATATATATATATATGTGTGTGTGTGTGTGTGTGTGTGTAAGGATAGAATGATTTTTATATATATATTTGTGTGTGTGTGTGTGTGTGTGTATGTGAGTGTGTAATAGCTGTAGTGACAGAAAAACACTGTGGAAACACTAATTTGTCCCTGTTTCACAAATGCGACAGTATTTAGCACAAAAGAAGTAAAGCAGTAATGATGTGTTTTCAACTGCGGAGGTCAGGAGATACATGCTAATCAGTCAGTCAGTAAGTGCCATTTTCCCGCAGTAGCATTGCCGTTTTCTTCTGCAGTAGACTGGTTGCCAACCAAGGCTATAGGACCCAGTCTGTCCTTCTATCCAACCATGATAACAACAGTCAGTCACTTAAGTGCCATACGTGATACACGCTTCGGCGACTATGTGTCTTTCGATTCATGACTGATTAGACAGAAGATATTCCCGCGGTAGGTTGCCGTTTCTTTTTATGATAGACTGGTTGCCAACCAAGACTATAGAACCCAGTCTGTCCTGCTATTCAACCATGATAACAACAGTTAGTAAGTTAAATGCCATACGTGATACACGATTGGGCGATCATGTCTCTTTCGATTCAGGCAGAAGATATTCCCGCAGTAGGTTGCCGTTTCTTTCTGGTAACCAGGCAAAGCTATAGGACCCATTCTGTCATCCTTTTCAACCCATAGCTTCGGAGAGGGTATTTGCACGTAAGTCAATGGAACAAACTCGAATGGAATTCGATCTCGGCTTTTCCATTTCTCCTTTCGAACCGATAACTTAACGCACATTCTACCATAATATCTTCCCGTTTTAGTGATGTGGAGATTTTCCTAGAGAAATTAATTTTGCTTACCATTCTGGAATTCGAATCCCTGTATTAGCTTGACCAGGACCTGCAAATAAAAAAAGAAAAGAAAATGGAGTATTCCAAGTAAAATAGATTTTAAAATTGAATTCAATCTGCAATGTTAACAGTCCTGACTTGGCATCTCGGCTTCAGTCAGTTTCTTTCCACCGTAACACACGTAAACATAACTAATTTGTTTCTGGCAACATGGCTGCCAGTATGAAAGTGTAAAAAATGGAGTTTTTTTAAAAATTTAATACAAAGAAAAATCTGCAGTGTTACTGGTTCTGACCTGGCATCTCAGCTTCCGTCACATTTACAACGCCGTAAAATAACTTCCCGATAAATATTGTTGTAACAGTTGTTCTGATGAGTTTTTTTTTCACTCCGGTGCCATATAGACAAATCCTGAAGCAGATCAGTCCGTACAACGACCGAAACGTCGTGAATATGACAATAAAGATGACGACAGCAGTCCGAACAATATAAACAGTGAAAATAATTAAACTCCCTCATCTCAAAAATATAGACAGATCCTGAAGAAGGCCGGTACTTCCAACGACCGAAACTTCGTGAATATGACAATAAAGATTAGGAGAGCAGTTCAAACAATGTAAATAGTGAAAATAATTAAACTCCCTCATCTCAAAAATATAGACAGATCCTGAAGAAGGCCGGTACTTCCAACGACCGAAACTTCGTGAATATGACAATAAAGATTAGGAGAGCAGTTCAAACAATGTAAATAGTGAAAATAATTAAACTCCCTCATCTCAAAAATATAGACAGATCATGAAGAAGGCCGGTACGAACAACGACCGAAACGTCGTGAATATAACAATAAAGACGAGGACAGCAGTCCGAACAATATAAATAGTGAAAATAATTAAATTACATAATCTCAGAAAGATAGACAGATCCTGAAGAAGGCCGAAGCGTACAACGACCGAAACGTCGTGAATATGACTATAAAGATAATGAAAGCAGTCAGAACAATGTAAATAATGAAAATAATTAAACTACCTCATCTCAGAAATATAGACAGATCCTGAAGAAGGTCGGTACGTACAACGACCGAAACGTCGTGATTAAGACAATAAAGATGAGGACAGCAAATGCAATGTGAATACTGTAAATAGTTCCTTATTAATTAATTAAATTTTTTTTTCTGTGGTTTTATTATTTTATTGGTTTCGGCTTCATATTGTGAAATGGGCTAAGTCCGACAATTATTTTAATATATTTTATTGTTATACGTTATTTTTATAGATACAAATACTTAAGTAAATGCTCTGTTTATAATAAATAGTATTAACAACATTACGCATATTTTCTAAGGGATTTCTCAGATATTCAGGCCAGTAAATTTTGTTAATACTTTCAATCAATTTAATTTTCATAATGTGTGACGTCATTTGTTTACATTTGGATATGCATCGAGTAGATATGAATGTACGAGAGAAAATCATGGAGACTTGTAGTTTAAAAACAGTAAAATCAACCTTGCTAACCGAAAAGCTCCTCTGTGGCTAAATCGGTAAAGCAAGTCAGGCTATATGACGGTTACGTGTAGGATACAGTTTCGATTCCTGTCGGAGGACGCATATTTTCTATGAAAATTTCTCGGACATTCAGGCCGGTAAATGTCGTTAATACTGTTTATTATAAACATAGCATTTACTTAAATATTAGTATCTATAAAAAGAACGTATAAATATAACAAATGTCTTAAAATAATTGTCGGACTTTCATAATATATCTATACACACACACACACACACACATACACATATATATATATATATATATGTATATGTATGTATGTATTACATGGTGCAGTATAATTGATATCATAAAGAAATAATCATACAAAGATTAAATCAGTAAAGTTAATGTAATTAATAGCGAAATCACTTCGCCAACAGATTTAATACAGCATTAACTTACTCACCACTCGTAACTTGGAAGTTACCTGAAGTGAAAAACATATTTACGCCTTATGATAAAAATGTGATTATTTTCGACGGAACATCTAATCCATCTTGCAATTTTAAATATCAGGATCGCGTCATTCAAAGAGTGGTTAGTAAGTTAGTGCTTTATTAAATCTGTCTTTACTTTTATTATATATATATATATATATATATATATATATATATATATATATATATAAGAAAAACAGACCACTTTAAAGGTACCATTATAATAATTTATTTCACCAGAGTCCTTTTAAAAGGACGTCGAATCATCAGATAGCACTTCCAACAACGAAATGAAACGTACATACATATATATATATATATGTGTGTGTGTGTGTGTGTGTGAGTGTACATACATATATGTGTGTATGTGTGTGTACATACATATATGTGTGTGTGTGTGTTTGTGTATGTATGTATTTTTCGTTTCATTTCATTGTTGGAAGTGCTATTTTAAAAGGGCTCTGGTGAAATAAATTATTATAATGGTACCTTAAAGTGGTCTGTTTTTCTTTTAAATATTAGCTCTGGATTTACATTGAGCTCTCAGGATTTCATCCTCCTTGGGATTACTCATACGGATTACCAAGTTCTTCATAACTTAAATATATATATATATATATATATATATATATATATATATATATATATATATATATATATATATGCGGTGTTTATTGAAAGTGCTCAATATCAGTGATAAAGCTAACATATTCAGTTGTATGTATATGAGTTTGCAATCGTCATGGCCTTCAAAATTGCCTTTATTCGTTATACCTCCCGCGGTAGGTACTAGTACGCTATGTCGGATGATTTGCAATCGCAGACCTTTTTTAGTGTACAGGGGAATAGCCGTTTGCACATCTCCTTGTTGCATATTGGCCATTTGCTCCTATCAGAACCTTATCCACACTTTGCTAACCCTCTTCAGGCAGGACTGAATTCAGTTTAATACGTGGCTGGACAATTGGCCGTCTGATATTTGGACGAGAGACATTTGGCCGATGGACATTTCTCTGAAAAAGTACAATTAAAAATAGTAACAAGCAATACTTTAAGTATTTTAATTAGCAGTATTATAAGGTAGAACAGGACTAAAAATTACCCCTGAATTTCAAATGATTAAATTACGAAATCTAAATTTAAAGTTAAAAGCTTTCTTATTTCAATATTTGTTTATTGAAATTAGTACTTAATAAATATTTGGGTTTGTTTGGGTAAAAAGTAGAACTTAATTATTTAAATTCGTATTTAACAGTAAGATAAAAGCTAGTTCATCCCTTTAAGATGATGATTATTAAAAGCGAAATTGAAAGATCTTTCATATCGTAAAAGTTTAAGATTTTTGCTGTCGTAAAATACGTTTTTTCTCAAAAATATTTATCATCTTACAGTAATATTTGAAGTAAAATATATATATATATATACAGAATAGATAAAAAAAAAGGCCTGTAAAAAAAGGAGAAATTATAAATTAATACAGTAAATAAATATAAATATATGTAGCTAATTACTGTAAAGAGTGTGATATACATGTAAGTACGCCCCTAAATTTTCGGCTAAATGCCCATTCGGTTAATTGTCCGTCGATCAAATGTTGGAGTAAGGTTTAATAGGTACTGCGCCAGGTTAAAATACGATTTTCCTTCTCCTAGAATGGTTGCCAATTTAGTAAAGAAAAAAATGCGTCTTTCTGTCGAGTATATTAATAAGATTTCTCGAACATTCAGTCCGGTAGACGAAAATAAATAAATATACCGTTTAAAAAGTAAGTCAATCTAAGGGGAGAAAAAACCTGATTTTAAACCTCGCTACCTTACGTTCATATCCAAACACGGAAAAGGCTTTGGAAGTAAATCCAGAGAGAAAACATGGAGTGAAGCCTGGAAAGCGGTTACCTGTCAACACTGATAAGTATCCGGCAACTCCTGCAGCCAAGCCGGCCCCAAATGTAAAGCCGTGTATTCCTTTAGATCTTGTCGATATGCCCGAGAGAGGAGGGCACGTGGACTGGGTAGCGTAAGGGCTCCATATACCATCGCCAATCTAAGAGAAGGAAAACTCTGAATTCCAAACTACGTGCTACCTTGAAGGTCCTGCTTCTTTAACTTCTGAGAGGAGGGACGGCGTAAACTCAGCCCACCCCATGCAAATGTGACCGGCAAATTACTGAGCTATCTACCTTGAATATCACCATGAACAACAATTGTGAGATGGATGGGAGTGATGACCAGAGAGGCGGCGCAAAATGCACTAACTGAATAAAAGAATGAATGAATAAATAAATAAACAGCTCGTCTACTCAAATACGAGTATCCACTAAAAATAACGTTTAAAGTGATAATATATATATATATATATATATATATATATATATATATATATATATAGTCGATATTAATTTTGTCAATTTTTTTTTAAATACACAGCGGCACTTTCAGTAAATGCCCTTCCGTTTTAGATTTCCCCGCCCCATCTCTCCTCCACCCCTTTTTCTTTTCTTTTCCTCTCCATCCCTCTTCTTCTGATCTTTAAGATTAGATCGTCTATGGTGTGTGTATGTCACCACGAAATGTATCCTTTACGGTTACATCTTTAATGTATTAGACATCCGACAACATTCATATTTCTCTCACTTAAACCGTCTTCAACTCACCTCTCTAAAACTTCTCTCTGTTAAGGTTTAATCTCCCACCTTCTCTCGTCTGTTACCCCTCTCTTTAGCTCTAACATTCGTCCCACACTCTCATACCTACACTCTCTCTAAATTCTATTTTTATATCCGGAATCGTTTTTTTCTGTTTTCTTTTTGAATTTGTAGGTCTGATGAATTGGATCGTATTTACGATTCCAATAGAATAAATTATGACCATGGAATATTAGTGTTTAAGCCTTTTTATTATATCCTTACTCTGTCGTGGACATTGAGTTCTACCTGGATTCTATCCTCTTGGAATTATTTTTTATACAAAATATATATGTATGTGTATGCATCTCTCTATATATATTTATATATTTTGCATATGTATGTGTATATTTACCACTAATATTATCTATATATCTATATTTGGTTGGATTGATTGTGTATGTTATATTTATTAGCTAATATTATATATATATATATATATATATATATATATATATATATATATATATATATATATATATATATATATATATATATATATATATATATATATATATATATATATATATATATATATATATATATATATATATATATATATATATATATATATATATATATATATATATATATATATATATATATATATATATATATATATATATATATATATATATATATATATATATATATGAATATATATATATATGTATATATATATGCATATATATATATATATATATATATATATATATATATATATATATATATATATATATATATATATATATATATATATATATGAAGAAAAATATATACGGAAAAAACAAAGAAAAAAATCCTTATATACAATTATGTTGTTTTAATGTTAATATAATGTCAACGTCGGACGTTTCGGACTAATAAACCATCTTCATTTTTCATTCAAAATACTCAAATTTTAGGAATACGTTTTCACAGCGTCGCCCACGTGACGACAACGTGACCATGTTTTAAACGGGGCGCTGATCTTATAAAACTTTCAGTTATTTGTTTGGATAAGTCTTGTTCTTATGTACATCGTCTTTGTCATATTGTATTGATAATGTTATAATTTATGAATATGTCCTGAAGATGGTTTATTAGACCGAAACGTCCGACGTTGACATATTAACATTAAAACAGCATAATTGTATATAAGGATTTTTGTTTGTTTTTTCCGTATATATTTTTCTTCATACTGTCGGATTTATATCCATATATTTGCTTACACATATATATATATGTATGAATATATATGTATGAATATGTATGTATATATATATATATATATATATATATATATATATATATATAGGGTGATTGAAAAGTAAGTCCCTATTTTATGTATGTGGCACTCTCCCGTCTAACTATAATATATACAAGATGGGAGAGTCCATTATGCATAAAATGGGGAGTTATTTTTCAATCACCCTGTATATATAGGTAGACGAAAATACAATCTAAAGGACATTCATTCGTAAATATAGAATTTTTAACTAGATCAAAAAAAAAAAAGAAGTTCACCGTCCTGGGTATGACGATAAACTACATCCAGCAGCAAGGCCTCTGATCAGGTTGTGAGGAGCGTGGAACAATCTCTTAATTGCTGGTGTTTCCAGGTGCACCTGTTAGGGTCCCAGCTATGGGCAAATAGTTACCCCACAACCTGGGGTCAAAACGTGTAAAAGTAGGTTTTAATACCAGAAAACATTTTTGAAAAAAATTATTACCAGCAATACATTATTACTAGTAATACTTTTTTGGAAAAAATATTACCAGCAATAAAATCTTGTCTGCATTAAATAACCAATTGAAGGTGAAATGCCGTAAACCAAATCAAACGTTTACTCAGTCGACAGGTGTTTGCAAAAATCCTTGGTATCTCGTCAATATGAATATTTACACTGGTATTTACGTAATCCACCTTAAATCCTAGTCAAATAAAAGCAGGAATTTCATCTGAAAAATAAAATTACCGAACAACACGGTAAAATCGAATAAAAACGACACCTGGTGACACAGAAAATCGAGTTTGACCTTTCTATAGAAATAAGTAAAAGTAATTCAGGTATATATTCTTTCTATATCCGGAATACAATTTCGGTTAAAAAAAAGGAGATTGTAATCGAATAGAAAAGAGAAAAGAAAAGAAAAGAAAAAGCCCAAACATTCTACAGATACCAGCTTAAACAAACATATAACAATGAATTTAACAATATATATGGCCAGATAAGATTAGTTGAGCAGAGTGGTTTTGTCTCGACATTCACTCATCTACCATTTTATAAAAATCGATTCAACATCTCGCCTTCCACCCCGAGAGACAGACAAAGAACGCGGGGACATGGGCAGCAGACTTTTTGGGAGAGTCCACAGCGAACGTCAGCATTAAAGTTATTCTGCATTATTTTGCGCGACTGCAAGCGAGAGACGAAGGCCTTGGGAAAGAATCCCTTCTCTCTCCGCGCTAGAACAGGCGAAGTCACGAGGACGCTGAGGTACTCGGACCAGGTCGCGGAAGGTAACGGGGATTTACGGAGAGCATGCCCCGCATAGCCGATCGTAGTGGACGCGAAGAGCGACGAGGCTACCACTTCCCCCACTATTCGTAAGCTCCACTCTGCTGGGAGATCGGTGATGTGTAACTCATCGGTAAAGATAGGCTGGCGGCTAGGGTGGACTGATCGAAAGCAGCGGCTCTGCAAGACGACGAGAGACGAAAGGCGCTAAGGAGCAAATCGTTCGACATCTCGGCTTCCGAGACGTGGCAGTCGGCTAAGAAGAGAATGGGCAAGGTGTAAGATATCTTTCGCCATCCCAATGTAACTTCGGATTTCAGTGTCACACTTTCCGTCCTCTGTTAAAAGATTTTCCGGAAATTTAAATTTTTGTATTTGTTTTGGTATCTCCAATTGCACTTTCGTTTATTAGATATTAAATTAGATTACATCACTTAGCATCTCCCATAGTTTAAGTTGACTTTCTGTTTTCAAATTTCCAAGAACTTGATTGGGACTACCGGCTAATGTACTCTGAAAAGGATTCGTGTTTTTAGGATATATATATATATATATATATATATATATATATATATATATATATATCAAACTGAAAACTTGGTAATCCATATGGGTAGTCCCAAGGAGGATGAAATCCTGAGAGCTCAATGTAAATCCAGAGCTAATATTTTAAAGAAAAACAGACCACTTTAAGGTTCCATTATAATAATTTATTTCACCAGAGCCCTTTTAAAGGACGCTGGATCATCAGATAGCACTTCCAAAAGATGAAACGAAAAATGAAAAAAATGTTTGTTCCGGATATATATATATATATATATATATATATATCGGGAACAAACATGAAGATGATTGACGAAAGTAAAAGAAAATATTAACGACGCCTTTCGCCGGTGAGCGTCTGCTCTCTTTGACTTCCTCAGGTTAGAATGAAAGAAAGACAAAATTATATGCGATGGAAAATGGCTCAGGACCTCTCTAAGGATAAGTGGGTATCGTAAATCAAATTAAATCAGATACCTTATCAAATCCAATGTCCAGACTTGAGAGAGTGTCCGTCACAGAGGAGCTACTTGACGGCAGTGGGGAAATGATTGAAGCCGAGGTGCCAGTTCAGGACCAATAATATTGCTGATTCTTCTTTGGAATTTATCAAGAATCTCTAGAGATATATAACAGGAGCAGCGAACCATATTTGGCAATAATATTCCGACCATAGATAAATGATAGAGATAGATATGTAAGAGATTCTGGAGAGAAAAAACAGGTATCCTAGCAATGGATACAATTTGATCTCTCCACTTCATCTCAGCCGAGAATGTTAACCCAAGAAAACGCAACGAGTCTCTCACACACACTTTATATATCGTGTTAAGTTGATATATAGAGAGTGTTCCAATAACTTGGACCGATTTTAAATGTGAATTAAATGTCTAATGCTTTTTTTCATTTTCTTTCAGATTTAACCATTTAAGTCTTTGGCAATTTAAACCATGGAAAGATTAACAACCAAACAACGTGTTACAGTTACTGAAGACCGTTACGAAAATGGACGTTCAAATTTATATCACGCTAGCAAAAATAGACTCCAGTTAAGTGAATTTGCCTTTTCGATATATTCGCTGGTTTTTGTTTTTAGCCTTTATTTTCCTTGCATTAGTCTGGTTTTTCCTTGGAATAATTTCGCAAATCAGTAAACTGAAAAGCACTTGAATATACTCAGAGCTACTGAAGAGTAAATAAATCTTTCCTAAACATGAAGGAAAAAGCAAAAACAAAACAAAAATGAAGCTATATTAATATCACTCGAGCAACAATAGAAAAACTCCAGTTAAGTCAATTTGCCTTTTCTACAGGAAATATATTTGATTGTTCTTTAGAAAAAGATCGAAAATAAATACAGTCATTTCGAATTTCTTTCTTATCGTGTTGTGTTTTTATATCTACTGAAATGCAAATGGTTAAACTGGAAGAAATTTCAATTTTTACGTCTCTGAAATCGGTCTTTGGGGAATGTACTGAAATCATTCTTGTCGTCTATTGAATAATGTTGCCATATCTGGTCGAATGGTCCTTTTGCACGTCTCGAAATTCTTGAAAAACCTCCAAAGAAGTGTCTATTATATAGGGCGTTCAAATAAATACTTTTTTCTTTTTCTTTCAGATTTAGCAACTTAAGGCTTTGGCAATTTCAGTTTGAATTGAATTCTATGGATGGCAAAGATTTGTGCTACCAACAGGACGGCGACATATGCCACACAGCCAATGCAACAATGGCTTCATTAAATGAGAAGTTCCCAAGTCGTATCATCTCTAGAAACAGTGAAGTCAAATGGCCAAAACGACGCCTTTATATTTCTTTCTTTGGGGTCATCTCAAAAGTAAGGTCAATGCCAACAAGCCAACAACAATTCAACAGCTTAAGGATGAGATAATAAGGCATATTGGTGGGATCAAGGAGCAACTGTGCAGAGACGTCATCAAAAATTTTGATCATCGAATGGCGGTTTGCCGTCGAAGCCTTGGCGGACATTTGGGCGATATTATTTTTCACACATAATTGCCATGACTTAAATAACATGATCCAATAGAGAAATATAAAAAATTCACCAATAAAACTGATTTATTTACTGCTAACTTTGATCCGTCTTAATGAAACACCCTTTATATATATATATATATATATTATAAATTTACTAATTTAAAAATATGGTTCCATAGCTACACAGGAATTGCCATGTTTCAAAAACAGAAACTAAAAATTTCACATTCAATTAAACAGAAACAGGACTAGGGATTTTAATTCTATAATTGAATGTGAAGTTTTTTTTCTTTCTGTTTTTAAAACGTGGTAATTCCTGTGCAGCGATGTTACCATATTTTTAAATTGGTACATTTATAATATTTATGCTCTGTAGATTTTTTCTTTTACTGATAATGCTATTAAGCTTATCAGAGGATATGAAAACAATTTACATAAAATAAATAGACAAAACTTGTCTATATTATTGAATGATACATCCATTAATTTATATATATATATATATATATATATAATTATTTATTTAAAAATATGATTCAACACGCTACATAAGAGTTCTCATGTTTCAAAACAAGGCCGAAAACTTTTTTATAATTATTTGAATTAAATTGAATTAAAGTTTAATTCTGTTTCATCTTCAAATAATTATTTTTTTTTGAAATTCGTTTTGAAGATGAGAACAAACTATGTAGCGTCAATTGAATTTAATATTTCTAAATAAATAATTATATTTATGCCCTACTTTTGTATCGAGCACTATTTTTTTAAAAATAATAAAAAATACTAAAGAACTTTGGATTATTTACCTAACGAGTTCTTTCCTATTTTCTATATATTTTTCACACACACACACACACATATATATATATATATATTCCACACATTATCCATTGCTTTTATTGATAATGTCTACCTATTTCTTAATCCTGATTTAGTTCTGTTTAGCGAGGTTCGAATCCGGTTAGGTAGACAGGAAGTGACTCTCTCTTCTGCTTCCTCACTTGTCGAACTCTCTACCTCCGAGGCTATTCCGAAGAGCCGTTTCGTTTGGGGAGGTAGAGAAACCCCTCCCCGTGTATACGAGGTCTACGGGCAATTTTTGCTTGCGCTTATGGACTCGGAACGACCCACATTAAAAACTGGCCTTGTGCCACATCTTGCCTTGTGAGGAGGTTGGTAAATAGAGAGGTATATCGCTTTTCATTGTTTCTTTTAATTGTTAACATGTACGGTAATATTAAAAGTAAAATTTTGTCTATTTATGGCGGTTATTAAGTTTTGTACCACCAACACAATAGTGTGTGTGAGAGAGGGAGAGAGAGGGAGAGAGTGTGTGTGTGTGTGTTTGTGCGCGCGCGCGCGCGTGTGTGTGTGTGTGTGTGAGAGAGAGAGAGAGAGAGAGAACCTAAACGACAATACGAATAAAGACAAAAGGAAAAATTATCTTTTCCGTTTCGTCCTCTGAGGAACCTTATCAAGAAAAGTCTCCCAAGGACGAAACGCGTCAGGCTAAGACAAATTTTCCTTTTATTCACACACACACACACACACACACACACACACACACACACACACACACACACACATATATATATATATATATATATATATATATATATATATATATATATATATATATATATCATATTACATGTAAAGAATACTTAACTTTTAAATATCAATGTTATATATATATATCCCCACACAATTAGACTTCTAAAAAAGAGATGAATTTAATTACACCATATATATATATATATATATATATATATATATATATATATATTTTATAAAACCTTAAGTTTTATAACACGCCGAATACAATTTTCAATATATATATATATATATATATATATATATATATATATATATGTATGTTTGTTAGTGTGTGTGTAAATGTTGGCTTAGTATTGACCTATTTAGAACAATAAGGAAATTGACAGATGTTGCTGTCAAAAAGGATGAAAAAAAAAAACTCATTTAATTTTATGTCTGTCTTCATTTTTTTTTCTTGTCTATGAGTTGACCTCTTTGTTTTGTGGGGGCCAAAATTTCCTGTTTTCTTTCAATTTAGCAGCTAAGCAGGAAATAAATCCAGCAAGGAAAACGAAATTAACTAAATAACTACAACATACAAAAATATATACAAAAAAATATAAAGTCATATTAAAAAAAATATACAAAAAAAAAAAAATATAAAAATATAGAGAAATAAAATAACTAAAAATTTTCGTGTTTTTAACGCGCTGTTTCGCCTTCCATTTTGGCTTGTAAAGTTTTTGGTTCGTTCTTTCATTATTTTATGCTTTTAAATTTTGTCATATTAGCGTTTAATCAAGCAAAGGGAAGTGCATGCGAGCATAAGTTTTCAGCTTAATTAAAAATAAATTACTGTAAAATGCAATAAAATATCAGTCAGTTAAATGCCATACGTGATACACGCTTGGGCGATCATGTCTCTTTCGATTCATGACTGTCTAGGCAGAAGATATTCCCGCAGTAGGTTGCCGTTTCTTTCTATGGTAGACTAGTTGCCAACCAAGGCTATAGAACCCAGTCTTCCCTGCTATCCAACCATGATAACAACAGCCAGTCTGTTAAATGCCATACGTGATACACGTTTGGGCGATCATATTCTTTCGATTCATGACTGACTAGGCAGAAGATATTCCCTGTTGTAGGTTGCCGTTTCTTTCTATGGTAGACTAGTTGCCAACCAAGGCTATAGAACCCAGTCTTCCCTGCTATCCAACCATGATAACAACAGCCAGTCTGTTAAATGCCATACGTGATACACGTTTGGGCGATCATATCTCTTTCGATTCATGACTGACTAGGCAGAAGATATTCCCGTAGTAGGTTGCCGTTTCTTTCTATGGTTTCTGTTGCCAACCAAGGCTATAGAACCCAGTTTTCCCTGCTATCCAACCATGATAACAACAGTCAGTCTGTTAAATGCCATACGTGATACACGTTTGGGCGATCATGTCTCTTTCGATTCATGACTGTCTAGGCAGAAGATATTCCCGCAGTAGGTTGCCGTTTCTTTCTATGGTAGACTGGTTGCCAACCAAGGCTATAGAACCCAGTCTTCCCTGCTATCCAACCATGATAACAACAGTCAGTCTGTTAAATGCCATACGTGATACACGTTTGGGCGATCATGTCTCTTTCGATTAATGACTGACTAGGCAGAAGATATTCCCGCAGTAGGTTGCCGTTTCTTTCTATGGTAGACTGGCTGCCAACCAAGGCTATAGAACTCAGTCTGTCATGCGATTCAACCATGATAACAACAGTCAGTCTGTTAAATGCCATACGTGATACACGTTTGGGCGATCAGGCCTCTTTCGATTCATGACTGTCTAGGCAGAAGATATTCCCGCAGTAGGTTGCCGTTTCTTTCTATGGTAGACTGGTTGCCAACCAAGGCTATAGAACCCAGTCTTCCCTGCTATCCAACCATGAAAATAACAGTCAGTCTGTTAAATGCCATACGTGATACACGTTTGGGCGATCATGTCTCTTTCGATTCATGACTGACTAGGCACAAGATATTCCCGCAGTAGGTTGCCGTTTCTTTCTATGGTAGACTGGCTGCCAACCAAGGCTATAGAACTCAGTTTGCCCTGCTATTTAAAACATAGCTGGAAATGAGGAGGGATGTATTGATACCTTTACCAAATATATGTTTAACGAATTCGACTTGAATTCGAACTCATCTCACTCCGATTTCTGATGTATTACACCTCAATGCACAATTGCATAAAATATACGAACATGGAGACAGAAATTCCATTTAACGCCAACTTTATCTTCAACCTGAACGCCAACCCTAACGCCATCCCGAATTCTAACTATGATAATGCGAGAAGACACTCTGAAGAAGGAAAACATGCACCCTTAGAGGTGCATTCAAAAAGAACGTTTCAATAAAGAAGTGTCTGAAAAACAACTTATGACTTTCCTTGAATAAGAGCGTCTCCTTGTTAATAGAATTTTTAAAGTGAAGATTTACAAAAAATAATTATTTATTTATTTATTTTTTCCTCTCAGATAGGTTTGGGTGCTTTTATTTTCTGAAATCAGAATTATGCATATATATTTCGGTTACGCAGCCTGTTCTCCACCTCCAAGTAATTTAGTGGATAAAAGCGTTGCTTGAATTAATCCAGTGACTTGATCCAAAGAGTTCTGAGTTCAATGTGAGTTCATATGGGAAAATGGTTGTACGTAATTGTTCAGGCATTTTTAGCGAGTGTATGTTTTCATTGTTTCATTCCAAGCAAGGCAATAAAGCCACTACGACACAGGGGATTGTCGAGTGTGAAATTTGTGTAATTGCATAATGCAAGTAATAACAGAAAGACTTCAAATTTATATAATAAAGTATTTAATTACGAAACGCAAAGAAGTAAACAGTCAACGGAAAGATTATTGATTACTTATCAGTTAAAACTGCGTCGAGCTGCTAAGAAAATTCGCCTTGAAACATGGGACACTCGACCTTAACGTCCGGGTTAACACAATAGTCAAACACGTAATTATAACCACCTCAGTCAGTGGTATGATATATCTATTTATAGTAAATGGTGGTCTATATTTTCATTGTCAAGAGATTCTCGTTCAAACTCTGGTGACAGCAGTAGCACTTTTCATTCATATGTGACAGAGATAATATGGGAAAAAACATTATTAAGTAGAGTTAACAATAAAAGAACTAAAATTAACAAGTGCATTGGGTTACCTAGATTTGCCTGTTTTTATATATATATATATATATATATATGTGTGTGTGTGTGTGTGTGTGTGTGTGTGTGTGTGTATAATAAAAACATACATATACGCACGAAAATGTTTTGATTTTTAAATATATTTCTTCTACAGGTGTTATAAATAGAGTGTTCAACGTTATGAGGCAGAGCTATAAGTACATATTAGTGAATATACATCTTAATATCCAATATATAAAACTCTGAGTCGTGCACTCGACGTTTGATATTATGTATATGCACAAATATATATATATATATATATATATGTGTGTGTGTGTGTGTGTGTGTGTGTGTGTGTGTGTGCCTGTGTGTGTCTGTGTGTCTGTGTGTCTACATATATATAATGAACTCTCCGGTCGGTTTCGGCATATGAGGATCTGACAACTTAAAAGATTCAGACACGCTAGTGATTTACAAAGGAGGCCGTATATGGAGCAAGAGTGAGGACTGTGGGATGAGATCACTGTTAGATTGGGTGACCTTTTAGATCTTGCTCTCGTTTCTTGAAGACGATTCAGACAAGCTGATTGAAAACTGCTGAGTCCACTAAAACACGTTGATCTCTATTCTGTCCGCTCCAAGGTTAAGAGCTCAAAGGTGTTATGAGGTATATTGACAGCTGACAAGTTGCTCTTCAGCTTGTCTTTGTATATTAGCCATGGGCGTCCTACATTCCTGTAGCCCTGATCTAACTATCTGTACATTAGGATCTTGGGTATCCTGTCATCAGACATTCTCAAGACATGACCAGCCCACCGTAACTGAGACTGTATGAGAAAAGTCTCGATTCCTCCAATATTACACCTGTTAAACAGATCTACGTTAGATGTCCTATCTTGAAGGTTAAGTCCACAGAGAGCACGCTATATATATATATATATACAATGTAAATCTATTTAAACTCGGTGGGTGAAAAAACCTGGATAGCACAATTTCTCAATAAATTGGCTTCCGAGGAAAAATGGAAAGAAAAAGAAAGAACCAGAAATATTCGAAAAGGGCAAAAGAAATGATCCAGTTCCTTAAATCTCTGGGACAAAAGAAAAATTATCCAAGCGAGTAATAAGTTAAAACGAAGAGTGCTCAATACATTAAGTAGAACAAAAGTAAAGTAAATAAATCGTAATGAGCCAGGTATACATATATATATATATATATATATATATATATATATATATATATATATATAAATTAAAAGGAGAAAAAAGATCGCAATATTGATATATATATTTTAATCATATCTAAGCTTTCAGCTTACATAAGCCACTATCAAAGATGACAGTTCCATTACAATATATTAAACAATACACAGACAAAACAACAATGATAGACTGTTTGGTTTTGACTATTTCAATTTGCCTTTTCAAAAATATTGTTTAATAATAGGATTAAAAATATGTATTAATATAGTGATTTTCTTTCTTCTTTTAATGATAATTTTATGAAGTCCAGGAAGGCAAGCACGTAAGATAAAATGGAAGAAAATAAAGAAAACTTCACTGTTTCAAAATGTGTTTCCGGAATAAAAATGATAAGACCGTTTGACGACAAAATAAATAAAATTTGGTGGCCAAATTTTCACCACTTAAGTGTCTGGGAATTCAGTTAAATACGCTGATATCACAATCAGTAAACACTGGTTGTCCATAACGTCTTTTTACAATTAAAAAAAAAATATTACAAAGATATCTCTCCACTTGACTTCTTTATATAGGGTTATGTGAAAGATATCGTGTATTGAACAGAGATACGGGATTTCACTGCTCTTAAGCAAAAGATCAGTTATGCCATTGTCACCATTGATGAGGTTTTGCTACAGACAACATGACAAAAAATCGAGTACTGTCTTGATGTGCTTCATGCAACTAATAGTGCCCATATAGAGGGGTATTAGATTAGTTTAAAAAATATCTACTGTTTATTTTGTAACAATTTCCCCTTATTTGTCTGTTCATTTGCTCTTGTAATAATGTTTTTAAATCGTTTTAATAATCATATTGAGGTTTTCGGCTCTAGTTTTTGAAACATGAGAACTCTTATGTAGCAAAGGAATCATATTTTTTAAAAAAATAATTATATAATTAGCCAGGTACTACCTATCTGGCTTGCACATGTGATCATCAGGGTCAGTTGACTCTGATGATCCTATGTGCTGAAAACCTCAGTAGGTAGTACCTGGCTCATTAGGATTTATTATATATATATATATATATATATATATATATATATATATATATATAATTCATATACAGGTTTGGGGTTGATGTATCTCATTTATATTGTTTGCGAAGATGTATTCTCGCCATTTAAATCATTAATCTCTATATTTGTTTTTTGTATGAATGATTCGTGAATTTATAAATTATAATTTGCACCTTTAATTGAAATTAAAATAACTAATCCAACGTGCAACTTTCGGATAATATGTGTGACATTACTGTAATTATTGAACAATATAGTTCATGCCACATAGGCGGAAAAAACTACCAGTAAAAAAGAATTCTCTTTTGTACAAAAACGCACAACCTTAAAATTCAAATTCAAACTCAGCGTTGCGACCGCACGTTCCAAAACAATAACACATTTCTCATAGAATTTTTTCGGATTTCATCTCTATTTTCGTTGTCCTCTTATTACCGAGAAGTAAAAACAAGAACAAAATCTATTTCCATCCCTGAGGATGTCTGTAGGAACAGACGAAAGCTTGTAAAAAATTAAAAAGACCTTATGCAACTGGAATTTATAAACAGGGATCATATCATTCATATACAGGTTCGGGGTTAGTGTATCTTATTGAAATTGTTTGCGAAGGTGTATTCTCGCCATTTAAATCATTAACCTCTATATTTGTTTTTTTGTATGAATGATTCATGTAATTTTATATATATATATATATATATATATATATATATATATATATATATATATATTGCGTATATATGAGAGATAAATACGAAACGAAGAAATTCACTACTGAGTCGAAACGCTTTTCCTACAAAATTGAAAATACTTTCTCGCCCATAAAAAGTGTTACGTTTACTACGTCTGGAATTTCAATTCCTTTAGGGCCACCCATGGCGGTAAGACCGGAGAGAAAAGACCCGGCAGGAGGCGATTAACTCCCGAAGACCCCAACGGCGGAATAGAGAAAGATCTACACGACCTACAGGCGGAAGTAGGCACTATCAATCGGGCTGCTGTAATCAAGGCGTACCTTGAGATACCAAGCACCCAACAACCCGATGCAACCAGGATTTCTTTTAGCTGCGAAGGGAGGTGCTTCTGGCCAAGTTTTGGAGCGCCTCCTTCGCGTAGAGTTGTCCATCAAAATCAAATTCATGTGAATGGCGTCGTCAAGCTCTCTTTGATTCAGGGCCATCTCCGCCACGGTCACCAGGGGAGAGAAAGGGTGACACGGTGACGATCCTAATTTCCGGACGTGCCGACGACAATGAAAATTGGAATGTTTTTTAAAATACAGAAACTTCTAGAATAAGGCGGCGTGCCATCAATCTTTTAGCCGCGAGGGAGAAGCTTCTGACCAAGTGTGTGGGCTGCTCCGTCGCGCAGATGTGAATGGATCATCAAAATCTCTTTGAATCCGCTTTCTACCACCCTTCAGCAAGTCTTGCGGTTGAGAGTCCTGCAGGTAGGATTGGTTAGCTGGAGACCCTTAGTCCCCAACCGCATTGTCCGTGAGGGCTTGGTGCATAATACACTCCTCTACGATTCCGACTCAGGATTTTTCATATTTTTACATCTATTGGGTATCACAAACAATATATATATATATATATATATATATGTGTGTGTGTGTGTGTGTGTGTGTGTGTGTGTGTGTGTGTGTGTGTTATGGTCCAGTTCCTTGTACCACGGTGATAGTCCAAGGTAGAACCAATAAAGAAGAACTCGAATACGGATATGGAATAACACAGATATATTATAAAGAGGAATATATACAGAGAAGTAGAATGTGTTAGTACAAACAATCAGGTTTAGTAGTAATTGTCTGAACGCGACTCTGTTTCGTACTGCCTCTGACTCGACTGACTGACTCGCTCGCTCTGACTGACTGACAGACTTCTGACGGACCACACTCCAGACTTCAGACTGAACGGTATT